CATCCATTAATTAAGCAGAAGAGAATTGCCCGGTCAATTAACGGAGAACCGAGCGAAAACAGTCACAAACCGCTGAGCGACACACACAAACGTCCCACACACACCTTTACAAAGAGTGCCTCGCCGAGCTAGCACACAGGCGTCATCGTCATCACTTCTCCCCTAGTAGGTGTCATCGCCATCCCTAATCACCGAGCAAGCGACTCCGACTTCGCTGTGGACGAACACCGACCCAACTCTCACCGCATAGGTTGTGCAAAAACACATGAAGATCCGTGCCAGAACCCAGCCACCCGCGTCGAGGGCAGCGCAACTCCGACTCTGAAGGAGAGATCCAAAGAAGACTAAGCCAGGCTGGCGCCGTGGAAGACCACCGAACGGACCACCTACTGCCTATCATCGTTGCCACAGGGCCCTGCCGCCGCAGCTCCGACTTCACCGCAACAAACAAACCGAGGTAATCCCACAGACACGTCGAAGAAGAGCCGACTACCGCAACCACTGCAACGCCTCCGACTTCACTTGCCCCATCATCGTCGCCACGAAAGCCTCGACGCCACATCAATGCCTTCCACCACCCAACCTCCCAACACACCCACTGGTCCCTCTAACTGGATTAACCTCCAAAATCGATGCCCTCAAGAGGGGAACGACGTCAACACGCCACCAATGATCGACCCGATGGTCTGGAGTTTCCCCCGGAGTTGTACCTTGCAGAGGAAGGGAGGGCATCCCGTCGACGCCTTCAGGAAGGTTACGGCATACACAGACGCCGCTGTCACAGGCTCCAGCCATGGCCAGAAACGGGTTTTCACCCAGCCCTCGAAATCCTCTGGTCGACAGCCAATCCATCAGCCCACCTTCCCTCGCTGCACCTCCACGCATCAACATCCCCGGCAGACAAATCTTGCATCCCCATCACCGCAGCAGGATGGGATGCCTCGTCGGGCGCTGCCTAGAGCCGCCACCATGCCGGACCTTGATGCAGAGAGGCCGAGGGAGACCGCCCCTAGCCGCCGGTCCAAGCAGCATGCCCAGCTAGGCCCCCGCTCGACGCCAGAACCGCGGCGCCCAAGCCCCTTGTGCAGTCGTGCGCCCAGCATAGGAAAATTGCGCTGTCCAGCCCTCTCTGCGCTGCTGCCCCTTGCTGCCACACGACCGGAGAAGACCAACGGCCTCGCCGGCCCCCTCAACACAGCCGCGTGCCCGAGCCGCCCCTTGCCGCTAGTAGCCACAGGCCGAGCGCCAGATCCGTCGTGAGCACCTTCACCGCGCTCACCCAGCGACGCTCCAAGCTGACACGCACCTCCGCTGTGCACCAGCCTCCCGCACGGGGCCCCCACGGCCGCTCACCCACCACCGCACCAGATCCGGGCGAGAGGGCCCCGGATCCGCCGTCCTACCGGAGAAGAGGACCTCCCAGCCGCTCGCGCGACGAACCACGCGCTGGCTCCCGCACGAACCAGCCACGGGTGCGCCCGCGCCCTGGAGAAGACGAAGCCCCGCCGCCACGGCTGCCACACGGCCTTTGACCGGCGGCGCACCCCGGCGGCGGCGAGGGGGAGGACGGCGGGGAAGTGGCTATCGGTGGCTGCTAGATTCGCCGCCCGTGTCGCCCGTGCGGAGCGACGCGGGGGCCTGACCGGGGTTGGGGTTTTGGTTCGATTTTCAGGAGTGTTTGTATCCTGGTTGATTTTCTTTTGTCTTCTTTTCTTTTTTTTGTTGTGGCAGTGGTTGTAATGTGTGGTTGCTTTATATATAAAATGGTGCGGAAGCCTTTTTCGGTATATGGTCATATGGCATTTCAATTCGTTCAGATTTTTTAGGCTGATGCATGTAAGCATCCTAACATGAGCCAGTAAATGGACATGTGCTGGAATGCTTGCAGGATAGGCGGGACTCCCGATTTGCATAATAAAACACAACATCCACCGTACTACTTGCTAGGTGGTTTTTTGGAGGTCTGACGGGAGAGCCTCTACAGTTGCTCCCATTGCACGATCTCCCCTCTCTAAGATGTACTCCAGTTTCCCCACTTTCTCAGCTTCTCAGCTTTCACATGAATTTGCCAAGCTAGGCAGCTTATCGGAAGTATGCCCAACACAACTAGAGTTCGAGGTACATAGAGTGGGGATCAAAATTAGTAGTTTGCTTATACCCCTAGTTGAAAGTTGTTTCTAGAACAATAACACTTGGTGTCGATTACTTCATCCCATTGCTCTGAATGACTTCGCTGCTAGTGCTGCGAAGAGTGCTACACCAGCTCAATTCATGCTCTTATCCTTTGTGATAGAGATTATTCTTGATCTCTTAGTACTTGCGATCGTGATAAATATGCTAGGCTTCTCTCTACATGTGATGGTATACCTAGATTGTTCAGTACTGCAACCTGACCATCTGGGTTAAGTTCCAAGAATCGACAGGTGATGCACAAGGTTTTTTTTTTCTCATTTTATTTCCTTGACGACCAAGCTTGATACACGATGAGACCACTCATCAAGATAAAATCTTGGTACTCACACTAAATAAAAAGTTTTGGAGGACCAGGCTTGGTGTGTGGTGAGACTACACATCAATATAAATATCATGGTACTCATACCAAAATGGTTGTTTGCATCCCTAGTTCATGCAAAAGCCGGGAGAAGTGAAATTATCTCCCTAATTTTAAGATGCAAAAGTCCCTGAGGATCCGTGTCGCTCTCCCTGGGCAACACGGGCGGTGCATCCATCTTCCACCGCAGGTTCACCTCCTGCCCGTTTCTCTAACTGTTCGTCATCGACCTGAGTCGCCAACAAAGCCCCATCTGGCTGCTAGCGGCGGCGGGGTCCTCTTCCTCCTAACACCTTCCTTCCCCGTTAAAAAAACCATGGGGCTCCTCCCCAGTAGGTCTATTTTTATAAAAATGAGCCAACAGTACTAAACAATCCAGAGAGAAAACTAGCATATCTAACTTCAAAGACAAGTAATTTTTTTAACAAATGGTGGATTTTATTGGCTTAAAATGAAGTATCAAGAGGATACAAATACAATGAGCACACTGCACACACCCGACCTTTGCATAAGGTAGGATGCATATAGTCAACATCAACGTAGGCACACAAAAAACACGCCAGCAAATAACAAAATAATACAAGACCAAAGTTATATCTAGACGAGGAAAAACAAACAAACATCAAAAACTATCAGATCTACGATTGGCCCACCTAGCCTAGTTGGCTCATTTAGCCTCCTAGAATATTTGTCATGTTTTATGTGCTTTATTTCAGGATTATGTGAATTTGCTTCAATATCAAATATTTCTTCGTTCACTATTATAAAATGTTCCATTTTTTAATCAAATTTAGATGTATATAGATGCATTTTAGTGTGTTTATTCACTCATTTTAGTTCGTAGTAGTCTATGTTAAAATATCGCAAACATCTTATATTTATGAACGGAGGGAGTAGTTTAAAGAAATGAATATGCTTACTTCACTTCTAAAGTTAAAAAGCATGTGTGCGTCTTGTGCAGGACCGCTGGTCGCGGGTGAAGATGGTTTGCGGCGGTGGCTGTCTCGCGCAGGACCGCTGGCCTAGAGCTTAGTGATGGTTGGCAGCAAAACATTGTCATAGACAATAGACGCTTTTTATTTAATCTGGAGTGCCGGTCGACGTCCCGCCAAACATCCACGCCATGGGATGTTATCATGCTATAAGCGACTAAGCGAGACCTGGCTGAGCTCGCCTTCCACCCCCGCCGTAATCAGTCGTGCGTTGTGGCTACCTAGCTATTCGCCTAACATCATTACAGTACTGAATTAAGTCGACAAAAGCTAGCACCCAGTTTCTCTATGGTCTGAAGAAAATATCTTAGGCTACAGTCGGTGCATGCACCCAGTTGCAAACTTTCAGTGTGTAGTGCTTCATTCAAGCTAGCGAGCGTCCTTGTCTAGCTAATTGACCAGGAGCAGGCGCTTTTTGTTTAATTTTCCAAGTGGGGAACACGAAATGTACTGTCTCAGTAATAGGTGCATATGCATTACTTCTAAGGATTTCGAAACTAAAAATCCAAAACATATAATGGTGCTCTCTTGGTTTTTATTTGCTTCACATATTAACTTTGTCTCAAGTCAAACTTTGTGAACTTTGACCAAATTTATACGAAAAGGTATTAACGTCCACAAGTCCAAATCAATACCATTAGAATCACGATTGAATATATTTTCACATCATATATATTTGTTATTCTAAAAGTCTATATTGTTTTCTATAATCTTGGTCAAATTTTATAGAGTTTGACACAGGTCAAAACTAATATGCGGAGTAAATAAAAACGGAGGGAGTATATCAGAGAGGCATAGGCCAAGATTGTTGTTTCTTTGTTATAGGCCATCTTTTTTCATTGACTAACAACATATATCAACCTCTTTTCGAAAACAAAATAAATGTTAACACAGACAAAACACTTGCTAGTGGTTAGCGCTAGTGAAGTCACTCGTCTAATTCGGCACCGCAGCGTATCCCATAGAGATTTCGGTGCTTGCCTTAATCATCGGTCAGTTAAACAATTCAATTTTTAAATGTTATCACGAGCCGTTTCTCTTTTGTAAAAAATAAATAAAAAGGCACGCAAAAAGCTTGTGGGTGGGCAAATCGAAGGATCACTTTCTATCATTGTGAAGAATTGGTCTTAATTTGCAGCATACTCTTGATGTGGAAATCGGTAGTTTTGCTTCATTACATATCTTTTTGCCAACTATGGTAGTCATTATCGTTCAACATTGGGTTCAAGTGCAGATTCTTTTTGCATGATAAGAAAATGGTGCTTCTACATGTGAGCAGCACTTGAGCGCCTAAGTTCTTTCCTGATGCAAAGTGCATACTTCATGAACACATAGGCCTGCCCCTATAAATAGAGCCATACACCAAACATTCATCTCACGTATTTCCAAAGCAAAACCTAGCCAGGACCAAAATCTCCTCTAGCAATCCGTTAGATAACATAATAACAGTACCAACCATGGCTAAGGCACATGCATTGGCTGCAGCATTGTTGCTTGTCATGTCGGTGTCCCTCTCCGCACTAGGGGGTGTTCATGGCGTTTGCGGCATGTCAAATGATGAATTCAAGCTTTGCCAGCCCGCGGCGGCAGTGAATAACCCGACAGACAGTCCGTCGGCTGATTGTTGTGCTGCGCTTGGGAAGGCCAACCTATCATGCATCTGTCGGTACAAAGGCAACGCCGGCATATGGCTGAGAAAGTACCACATCGACGCAAAGCACGCCTTGGCCCTGCCCGGCAAGTGCGGTCTCACCATGCCCAACAACTGCTCGTGATGATCGGATGTACTACCCATATAAGCATCTAGGAGTCGATTGCTCTACATCTGCATCGACACTTATATATGACTAAATAAGTGGTGGAGCACTTGGAAAAGCATTGTGCTACTCGGTCTTATTGTTATTTTGTGATTTCAAAGTGGGATTATCTCATTAAGCTCTTGATAAAATAGTATATGCATGTTATACTAGAAGTGCAAGGATGGCAAACGTGCCTTGTATGTTATTCCCATGAATTTAGTATCTTATAGTGATGTCGTTCATGTCAAAAAGTTGCATGTTTTCTAGTGAACAAGTAAATGTCGATCACAATTTTTCCCTGTTGGTCACTCTTAAATAAATCTATAATCAACTATCAAGAAGATTGTCTGTTTGTGCAGCTAGCTTTCTATATAGAGTTTTTGATTTTGCATCTATGTATGACAAAAGAAAATGCAGCCAATGTTTATCTTTAGAAAACATGAACGTCTTATAGTATCCAATGGACTTCAACAAAAACTCTCTGGCTTCTAGAGAAATCTTCAAAATTTAACTATGTACTTATTAGCAAACATATAGCATCATAGTTCATTCGGAATTTCTAGGTGATCCCAGGAAGCATCCTATACCAGGAACTAGTAAACGGACATGTGCTCGAATATTAGCAGGAAAGGAAGGACTCCTGATTTGCATAATCAAACATACGCACTAGCACAACTCACTACTTGCTAGGTGGTTTTAGTTTGAAGGTCTGATAATCCTAACTGGTGAGGTTCTTCACTGAGGACACTCACAACAATGGCTGCTCATCTATACGAAAATGCCCATGCCATGTGCTCACATGGCAGTATTGAATTGCGTGAAAGCATCCATCACATAGTTGTTGGGTCACGCAATGTTCCTATTTAAGTGTGGGAAGAGAGATGGAGCAATGACTCTGAGAAACCATCATTTGTCGGCCATGGGGTAGAGCTTAGTTGTTGCTAGGTTCATTTCAGCATGCCACATATTCAATGTAGACAAGTTTTGCACTTAGTTAGAATTTCTTTCTCAGTGTCGTTAAAATCCACATACATCCTACGACTGAGAAGCGTCGGGATTTGCGACTGCACGGACTTCCCTTGGATTTCTACGAGAAGTAACCTTCCTTGGATGACCATGTGCAGATGGACTCCTTTAGGAATTTTCCATCCTAGTGCATTTTGCTAACTAGACATGTATCTAGAGTTGAATCTATGTCTCAAAGCAAAGAATGCTGAAGTGTTGCACTAATTAAAGCTCCTGTGTCTTAGAGCGAGTCAGTCTGTTTCAGTGTGCTGTGTTGTGCAGATTGTCATTATCGTGTTTGAAGCGCAAGAATGTGGTATCCCATTTCATGGAAAATTACTATAAAATGTTGTGTTTCGAACACTACTGTCGCCGCATTCACGTGGGAATTACACTGATTCTTCCAGTGTATTCGACATTCTACCATTGATTTTCTCCTCGCCTTTTACAACGTCAACCTGGACAAGACTGCAACTCTTTTTCTTTTTTAGGGTGCAAGATTAGCACTTGATTTCACACATTATGTGAAAGAAAATTGACACTGCTAAATTCTATTAAGGGCCTCCTTATTTCCAACAATTCTAGAAATGCCGAAATAGGAAGCTGGTAGAATTGTGATGTATTGTTTGGTTCCATTGTAGAAACAATATACATGCCAGAAGGACTAGGTGCATTTCATAGTTGTCATAAAAATAGGGAAGAATTACCACGAGGTTAGTGTAATTTTTTATTTGAAATTACATGCAAACTAGACCATAAAAAATCATATACAATTCAATCTTACATACCAACAAGCTCTAGCCGAAAAAATCCTATGGAATAAAATCTTCCGAAATTCCTACAAAATTCTTCTAAATCATTGAGGCCCTTACATATATTTTTGTTTATAGTTGATTTTGTATCTATGATGAATTAGGAGCATTATAGAATTAAATTACAGTTAATGTCCATCTTTAGAAAATACACACATCTTTAGTGTTATCCTAGACTGACACAACACTTCTCATGCTTTTAGAATAGCATTTCAGTTTGTTCAATTCAGGAAGCATCCTACCAGGAAATTGAAACTAGTAAATGACCGGTGCTAGAAGGCTGGCAGGAAAGGCAGGACTCCTGATTTGCATCATCGAACACAACATCTACGCCACCACAGATCACTACTTGCTAGGCGGTTTCGATTTGGAGGTCTGATGATCCCCGGTGAGTTGCATGCTCTGGACAACCTCTATAATTTTGCTCCCACCGCACGATCTCCCCTCTCTAAGACGTGCCCCAGTTATTCCACCTTCCTGAACAGCTGCTCAGCTTCCATATACGCGCATCTCAGTAGCTTATCGGAAGTGATGGTGGGCAACAAACATGTCTTATTGGCATGAACAATAGACTCTTTTCATTTAATTTGGAGTGTCGGTCGACGTCCCCGCCAAATATCTATGCCATGGAATGTTATCATGCTCGACAAGCCCTGGCTGAGCTCGTCTTCCACTCCCGCCGCAATACGTTATGTGTTGTGTCTACCTGTTCATAACACTAGTGGATTAAGTCGGCAAAAGCTAGCACCAGCCCAAGATCAAGCCGATTTCTCTATGGTCTGAAGAAAATACCACAAGCTACGGTTGGTGCATGCATGCATCTAGTTGCAGGGTTTAATGCTTCAAGCTAGCTAGCGGATGTCCTTGTCTAATTAATTGACCAGGAGCAGGTGCTTTTTGTTTACTTTTCCACGGGGAGGAAATGCGATGTACTATTATCTCGGTAATATGTGCATATACATGAGTTCTAAGGATTTTTCAAATTAAAAATCCAGAACATATAATACATGGCCATTGGCCAAGATTGGTGTTTCTTTTTTCTAGGTCATCTCGTTTCATTAACTATATATAAGCACATCAACCTCATTTCGAACACAAAATATTTGTGAACACATGATACGGGGCAAAACACTTGCTTAGTGCTAATGAAGTCATCTATATCTATCTATCTATCTATCTATCTATATCTATCTATCTATCTATCTATCTATATCTATCTATCTATCTATCTATCTATCTATCTATATCTATACCTATACTAATTAGTCACTTCCTAAAAATTCCCACGTTAATTAGAAATTACGGGCCGTTAATCTGGTGGGACCAAGTTATGATGGTGTAGATCTAACCATATGTCCTCCATAATTAAAGCAACCTCAATCTCTTTGACAGACAAAGAAAAAGAATCTTTATCTCTTTGATTGAAAAAGAAAACAGGAAAAGCAATATGTACAACCTTTTCCTCTCTCCAGGCCGTCATTCTCTCTCCCCTTCACGTACATATCTCTATCTCTTTGATTTTAAAAACAAAGAAAAAACAATCTCTATGATAAAAAAAAGTTCTCTACGATCTTTTCCTCTCCCCACGCCATCATTGTCTCCCCTTCACGGACTCTTCCTGTTCTACATAATAGATCTCTTTCGCCTGGACAACAAATCCATCCACGCCTTCATCCTCTTCTCCAATATCTCTATCCCCCCTAATGGAAAACAAAGAAAGTTGTGGACTTGAATTCGGTGTGCTCAAGGAGTGAACTAGATCAAGGGAATTCCTCATCTAGGTCAGGTTCTGAGCGGACTGAAGCCCGCGCCTTATCGAAGCTGTCATGTGGAGGAACTACGGATTAACTGGTGGCACCGACTCATCGAGGTTTCTATCTGAAGAAACAAAAAGTGATGCTGCAAGTAGAGGCGCTGAAGCCCCAGCCTCAACCACACACGCACACACCATTAGTTCTGAACGGTTTGTTCCCTGTGATTGCTTCATATGTCGAATTACAGAGTTGTATCCTATCAGCACATATCTATTTTCACATGTTCTGCATGTCAAATTCAAACTAGCTGTCAAGAACATTGTGTAACCCAACTAAACATATAAATAGTTCAATACTTCAGTTATGTGCATCTCAAGAATCATCTATCTCTTCAGTTATGTGCATCTAAAAAAATTGAACTCAAGGTAAAAAAAATAACTCTAAAAGAATTTGTACTTTACTTATTTTTTTCTCTAGAACTAACACCACCGATCTCTTCTTTTTTTAATAAGGAACACCACAAATTTTTATTTAACTTTTCTCCTTATTCTCTCTTACGGCCAGAGCCAGCTATATCGGTGCGCAAAGCCACGCGGATGATGTCAAGGTGTTGGATCCTATAGATAGCTAAAAGGTTTGATATTTCTTTTCAGCGGGATATGTTTTACTCATGAAGAGGTTTATTTAACTCATGGCAGATGATTTCAGATGGTGGATAGATGCGCCTGCTACCTATATCAACAGGCATGTGAAATCACCGGCGATGACATTTCCGGGGATGAGAACACTACGTGAAGTGCATGCAACCATAGTCATTAGCTGCAGCCTTTTACCAAATAGTTCTGTGCTTCGTAAGGTGGTGTGGAAATTAGCACTAATAAGGATGAAGATAACTAGATCTTACTTGCACGGCCATAGGCCCAAGAGAGATCGTGAGGCTGCAGCAGCCGTAGTGGAAACGACGTGATTCTGTCTCATATGCATGCATATATACAGGTTCACCTGTATGATTTTTGTTTCTTGAAGGAACTCATAATCCTATTAATGTTTTTTCTTTTCAAAGGTTTTGGTTCTATTTGAGATGAAATTATCAGTTTTTCAAACCTGCTAAGTTGTTCTCAGGTACATACATCAACATATTCCGATTATTGTTTGTTTCAAATTTTAGTTAATCAAATTCTCAAAAAATAAGATTCCAAGAGTACGAGCGGCTAGCAGGATGCTCTACAGGTACGGTTTTGGAATGGGTACAAAAAGTACGTCATGTAAAATTCAGATGTACAATATGGTTTTCTTGACAAACTTTTACAGATGTGACACCTGCAAATGCTACCGTAAGCATACAAACAAGATTTCAGATGTAATATTTATTATAACATTTTTTGGGTCCTAGAGTATATTGAATTTACAAACATATATTTTGAAAACTTGCAGATATTACAGAAACTATAGTTTTGAACACTTTATTTTTTCGTAAATAGAAATAATACTCAAACATAAAATAACATTCCATATAGTTTAAAATTGCACTGAACTAGGGACATAAACATACATATACCACTTTATTGACATTGGTTATTAGGAAGGAGCGACACATAGTCGATTGATCCTTTGGTGTTGATGATATTGTCGAGGCTTCTCTATAACATAATCACGGTCACTTTATATATGTCTCAATATAATATATCTAGATATATGGTACATAGTCAACAAAAGGCTAAACTTCATCATGTTGACAACAAGGAAAACAAACAATAGTTTGTACATCTTAATATGTAGCCCCGTGGAAGTTAAGAATTAATGATATAGACAATAGAACTTCGGGATTAAGTTGATGGATATTTTCAATTTAAAAAAAATGATGGTTGTTTTCTATGAGCGCATATAGCAAGTAAAGGTGATGCTATAGGATATGCCTTATACGGAGTATGTGACCGACCAGATAGTCTAGAAAAGTCTCGGGAGTTGTATCAAAGTCCTTTTGAGGAGATACAGTTTACTCTGATGAACAAAGAATAATAGTAATTTTTAGGAACAAATTCGGAAAGTAATAGCTAATTTTTTTTACAAACCAAAGGGAAGATCAACTGGGAGCTAGAATACCCAGAAGTTGCGATTGTTATAATAAAATGAGAATTTAAAATAGGTCAAAAATGTGTTAATCAAATGCATCAAAATCTGAACACAGAACCCAAATATATTCCTCATATGTAGTTACAAGTATAAATCTGAAGTATGAAAATGAAAGTGTTGTTGGAAATCCCCTAAGGAAAAAGGACACACATTTACGACGCATGCGTCAGCCAAATAACAACAATTAACAGAAAAATATAGGAAGCATGAATATGTATTTTAAACACTAGCCCGTGCGAATGCACGGGTTGGCGACTAGTTCCTATAATTCGGCAGCGGAACATATACCATAGATATTTCAGTGGCTGTCTTAATCGATCGGTCAGTTAAACAATTCAATTCTCAACTGTTATCATGAGCCGTATTTCTTTTGCAAAAAGCTTACTTTTTTTAAAGGATGGAAAAAGCTTGTGGTCGGGCACATCGAACAATCACTTTCTATGATAGTTTTGCGGCATACTGATGTTGCATTATAGAGATTTTTGCACAAATCTTTCAAAAGAAATCAGTAGTTTGTGTCGTTACATTTCTCTGTGCCCTACTATGGTAGTCGTTATCGTTCACAGTGCGTTCAAGTGCAGATTTTTTTTCATGATAAGAAGATAGTGCTTCTACATGTGGGCAGCACTTGGCGCGCTTAAGCTCTTGCTTGATGCATAATACACACTGCATGAACAAAGAGACTGCCCCTATAAATAGAGCCATACACCAAACATTCATCTCACACATTCCCAAAGTAAAGCCTAGCTAAGACCAAAATATTCACTAGCAATCCACTAGATACAAAATAATAGTACAAACAGCCATGGCTAAGTCACATGCATTGGCTGCAACCCTGTTGCTTTTCATCGTGGTGTCCCTCGCCGCACTAGAGGGTGTTCATGGCGTCTGCGGCATGTCGAATGATGAATTCAAGCTTTGCCAACCTGCGGCGGCAGTGGATAACCTGACAGAGAATCCGTCGGCTGAGTGTTGTGCTGCACTTGGGATGGCCAATTTATCATGCATTTGCCGCTACAAAGGCATCGCCAGCATATGGCTGAGAATGTACCACATCGACGCAAAGCGCGCCTTGGCCCTGCCCGGCAAGTGCGGTCTCACCATGCCCAACAACTGCTCGTGATGATCGGATGTACTACCCATATAAGCATCTAGGAGTCGGTTGCTCTACATCGGCATCGACACTTATATATGGCTAAATAAGTGGAGGAGCACTTGAAAAGGCATTGTGCTACTCGGTTTTATTGTTGTTGTGTAATTTGAAAGTGTGATTATCTCATTAAGCTCTTGATAAAATAGTATATGCATGTTATACTGGAAGTGTAAGGATGGCAAACGTGCCTTGCATGTTGTCCCATGAAATTAATATCTTATATTGGTGTCGTTCGTGTCAAAAAGTTGCATATTTTCTATCAAATCAAAAAGTTGCATGTTTTCTATCGAACAAGCAAATGTCGATCACAACTTCTTTTCCCATTAGCCACACCTAAATAATTCTGTAATCAATTATCAAGACGAATGTCCATTTGTGCAGCTAGTTTTCTACATTGAGTTTGTGATTTTTGCATCTATGTGCACTAAAATAAACTGCAATTAATGTTTATATTGTAAAAACATCCACGTCCTATGGTATCCAACGGACTGCGCAACACCTCTCTGGCTTCTAGAGAATCTCTAAAACGTAACTATGTATATAAGCAAGCATATAGCACAATAGTTCGTTCCGAATTTGGAGGTGATCCCGGAAACCATCTTATACCAGGAACTAGTAAAATGACATGTGCTAGAATACAAGCAGAAAAGGCAGGACTCCTGATTTGGGTAATCAAACATAATATCTACGCCAGCACAACTCATTACTTGCTAGGTGGTTTCAATTTGGAGGTCTGATAATCCTTGATGAGGTGTGTGTACTCTAGGGTCACTCTACATTAAGAGGACTTTCTCAAATGTGGTCATCAAGAGGGACCACAATATGAATGTTGATTGATACAGGCAAAACATATAATAGGGGAGTTACTTCACTGAAGGAGGGCACTCACAACAGTACACATATCCATGCTCTGGAGAACCTCTATAATTGCTCCCACCACGCGATCTCCCCTCTCTAAGACATGCTCCCGTTTCTCCACCTTCTCAAGCAGCTGCTCAGCTTTCACATTTGCGCAACTCAGCAGCTTATCTGAAGTCTTCAACACCCTGTATAACTAGAGTTTGAGGTACAGAGAGTGGGGAGCAAAAACGTTACTAGTTTGCATCGAGGTACGCAATGTAGTACATAAACCACGAGGCACAGACATGGTAAACAAGAAGGAAGGAAGCACACCATCAACATCAGGGAAGGCCACGGAGGATCATTTTCCCGTAGCGACTTCATCAAATTGTCATAGTCTTCCTGATTGATGGTGAATGCACAAATGAATTACATTTTTTAATTCATCCCAGATAGCTCATAACTAAGAGTACCACGCCGCTTTAAATTGATGAACAATCAGCCTTTTCTGGCATCTTGGTGGACTCTGTCATTATTATTGAACATTGAATTAATTCGAAGATGTAGCAAACACAAACATCAACAACTGAGCTGTTAAGCTGGTCACGATGTGTGAAGTAACCTACCACAAGATATGAATTACAAACTTAAGTTAGATGAGAGCATCTCAATTCTTTTTATTTTATTTTATTGAAAAGGAGGATATACCCCGGCCTCTGCATCTGCAAGAGCATCTCAATTAATCCCAATATCCAAGGTTGTACACATATTTTTTGTACCCTATATGGATTTATGGCAGCAAGATCTTTTATGTAGAACGCAGTTGAGTAGTCCCTGGTAATTCATGGAAACAGAACAGCTGGTCGATGCATGATTCATACAATAAATTCGAAGGAGCAAGAAACAATACGACGGGTGAATCAATTTGATGCTGAAAAAAATCAGTAGTCAAAAGGGACGAAGCGAGCCGTCACAGCGTTGACCTGTGGACGAAATCAAATCACAGAATGAACTACCCGTGAAACTATTTCACGCGGCTGACCTTTTTGCGTGACGCCCGACATGAAGGCGCCACACTACACTGTGCAACGCCTCACAGATAGGCGCTACACGCTTGGCCAGCGTTGCACCCCAGACTGCCTAAAAATTGCTAAGTCATTGTGCAGAGCCTAAGAGTTAGGCGCTGCACTGTATAGTGTGGCGCCTAGCTCTCAGGCGCAGCACTAGTGGTTGCACTATAAAATGAAGCAACAATTAGTGCAACGCCTAGAAGTTAGGCGCTACACTGTATAGTGTGGCGCCTAACTCTCAGGCGCTGCATACTGACTTAGTAATTTTCGGATCACACGGGTGCGATGCTGGCCAGGCGTGTAGCGCCTATCTGTGAGGCGTTGCACAGTATAGTGTGGCGCCTTCGTATTGGGCATCACACAAAAAGGTCAGTCGCGTGAAATAGTTTCACGGGCAGTTCATTCTGTGATTTGATTTCGTCCATAGGTCAAATTTGTCAATTTTGCCTCATCGCGAAGAGCCGTTCGAGCTCGGAGGGGGCAGCTTTGTCTACCTGCTGCGCTGCCAAGGGGGAGGAGGGAACAGATACGTCGCTTTCCGCCGTCGAGGAGCAGTGGGCTTACAACTCTCCGCATCTTGTGGTCTCCTCCCGAAGCTGGCGGCTTGGTCGGAGGGAGAAGGGTGACATCGCTGGTCCGGCGGGCTGAGGAGTGGCGGCACTCGCCCGGGAGGAGGATGGTGGCGGACCGAGTGGCGGCGACCGGTGCTCGGCTCGACAAGAGGGGCAAGTCTTGGGAAAAGTGAGGACCTGCTCGCTTCCTGCAGTAATGGTCGAGCTGCCGGCGTGCCACCCTAGTTCGACCACCACAGACTAACGCCATGCCCCCAAACCCATGTTGAGCTCGCCTTCCACCCCCGCCGCAATCTGTAATGCGTTGTGTCTACGTATTCGCCTGACAGCATAACTGGATTAAATCGGCAAAATATAGCACCACACCAAGATATATCAATCTGATTACTCTGTGGTCTGAAGAAAATATCTCAAGCTACATTTGGTGCATGCATCCAGTTAGTTGGAGTGTTCAATGCTTCATTCAAGCTAGCTAGCGAACGTCCTTGTCTAGTGATTAACCAGAATCACTTTTTATCATTGTGAAGAACTGGTCTTTGCGGCGTACTCTTCATGTTGCTTTATGGAGATCTTTGCACCAATCTTTCAAAAGAATCATTAGTTTTGCTTCATTGCATTTCTTTGTTGCCAACTATAGTATAGTCGTTATCGTTCAACAGTGAGTTCAAGTGTAGATTATTTTACATGATATGAGGCGATAGTGCTTCTACAAGTGGGTAGCACTTAGTGCGCCTAAGTTCTTCCTTCATGCAAAATACACACTTCATGAACATAGAGGCTTGCCTCTATAAATAGAGCCATACACCAAACATTCATCGCACACATTCGAGTGAATTGCGAAAAAAACATCACATTGACGCATAGGTTTGCAGAAAACACTGGTTTACGAATTTGTGTCAGAAACCACTGATTCTTGGCCTAATCTTTTGCAGAAAACACTGACTGATGACTTAAACCATTTTAATGACAATTATGACATGTGGGTCCCATATTTAATGACTGGTCTTTTTTTTTAAAAGACTCCCTCCCAGAAACAACTCTCCCTCCCCACCCGATCCAGAGAGAATAGAAGGTGCGCCCTTGACGTCGGCGAGGACCAACCGCCGCCGCAAGTCCTCGCCCTCATGGTTGTCGGGATCCAGGGCCTGCACCAGAGCAAGCAGCGGTGGCGGCCCACAGCACGGACATGTGCGACGGCGCGGAGCACCGGATCAAGCAGCGGTATGGCGGCGCACGAGCAGCAGCAGCGGAGCAAGCAGCAACGGCGCGGCAGCCCGGAAGTAGCAGCAGTAATGTGGCGGCGCGCAAGCAGCAGGAGCAGCGGCGGCAGCGCGGCGACGCAGAAGCAGCAGCGGCACACGGGAGCAGCAGTGTCGGCGTAGCGACGCGGAAGCAGCAGCAGCGGACCAGCAACAGCCGCACGCGCAAGCAGCAGCAGTGTCAGACTGCGTTCGATATGGAGCATGACAAGCAGTGGAGCAGCACAAGCAGCAGTGGAGCAGCACAAGCAGCAGCGGAGCCGTGCGGCGCCGCGCGCTGACCCAGCTAACGCCGGCACGATATGGACACAGCGGCGCGCAAGCAGGAGCTGATTGCGTTTTTTTTTCCCAAGGGTGCCAATGCAAAAATACCAAGGACCAACCGTTATGCCACGTCAGTTTTTTCGGGACCCATATGTCATAATCGTGGTTAAAATGCTCAAAGAGAGTGATTAGTGTTTTCTGCAAAAGATTAGGCCAATAAGCGGTGGTTTCTGGCACAAATTCGTAAACCAATGTTTTCTGCAATTCTATGCGTCAATGTGGTGGTTTTTGCAATTCACTCCACACATTCCCAAAGTAAGACCTAGCTAAGACCAAAATCTTCACTAGCAATCCACCAGAAACAATAAACAATACTGGCATCCATGACTAAGTAACAGGCATTGGCTGCAACATTGTTGCTTGTCATGGTGTTGTCCCTAGCCGCACTAGAGGGTGTTCATGGTGTCTGTGGCATGTCGAATGATGAATTCAAACTTTGCCAACCCACAGCGGCAGTGAATAACCCGACGGACAGCCCATCGGCTGAGTGTTGTGCCGCGCTTGGGAAGGCCAACCTATCATACATTTGTCGCTACAAAGGCATCGCCGGTATATGGCTGAGAATGTACCACATCGACGCAAACCATGCCATGGTGCTGCCTAGCAAGTGTGGTCTCATCTTGCCCAACAACTGCTCGTGATGATCAGATGTACTACCTATAAGTATCTAGGCGTCGGTTGCTCTACATCTGCATGAGCACTTATATGCATGGCTAAATAAGTGGAGGAGCACTTGAAAAGACATTGTGCTCTCGGTCTTAATGTTGTGTGATTGGAAGTGTGATTATCTCATAAGATCTTGATAAAATAGTATGCATGTTATAATGGAAGTGTAAGGATGGCAAGTACTTGGCATGTTGTCCCATGAATTTAATATCTTAATTATAGTGGTGTTCTTTGTGTCC